GTCACCACCATGTAGTAGTCAGTATCACAATCTGCTGCCCTGAATGATTGGACATCAAGTATATTTGAGTGCCGTCTCCTATCTATCAAAATACGGTCTATTTGATGTCCAAGTAAATTTATGACTGTTACGATGTGGGAACACCGTACTTTTGACAGTAAGATTTTTTGATGTAGCAAAGTTTACTACTCTAACTCCATATTAATTTTTAAGCTAAAATTGCCTGTACTTATGTATGTAACCTTTTGACATGTTCTGTATCCAAAGGTACTAACCTGCTTAGGATTTATAGAATGTAAATAAATTCAATTCAATTCAATTATCATTACTAATTTCATGCAAACTCTCATTCCCAATCGTTGGTTTCAAAATGTCTTTATGTCATCAATTTTATCTTCTGTTACTGAATGAAAACTCACCTCACTTTTAATTGTCAAACTTTTGTTTTTCACAGTACCTTCAGCAAACAAACAAAGAGAACCAGCTCCAGCTTCCAATGCTCTCTCGCAGAATCATATCCACGGAGCTACAGGAAGGAGGCATGTGGCAAAATACAGCAGCTCTTCAAAATATACAGTGCAGTGCTACCAGAAGTGTTTTCTAACCACCCGTTTGTGGGACAGTACAAGTTTGTGATCACAATCATTGTAGTTCAGGAACATGTAATATGTTACAAAAACTCTTGAACAGTTTCAAGTAACTGGAAAGTGCCAATGAAAATCTTGACTAAAAAATCAACAAGCATGCCTGAAACAGAAGAATCTACAGTCTTCTCTCTAGTACTGTCAGAATAAATACTTACAATAAACAGGAGGGAAGTAATAGGTCTGGCAGCATTTAATTGTGGTTACAATAACATCTTAATCTCTTATCACCCATAATTTTCACACAAATCAGAAACTTATGAAATACGTGATGACTTAATGATTCTTTACATAATATCAATGCTTGCAGAAAGCTTTAACTGAAAATTTGAAAAGATATTGAACTTCCAAACTTGATCTTACCAACAGAATTTGTTGATGGTACCCTTTCTAACAGTATCAAATAATCACATTCACTATCTGGAAAACATCAAGTCCAGAATCATGAAGAGTCAGCTTTGACAGAAATGTCAGGCCTTTAAAAAGAAAACCCCTCACAGAGGATTCTGAATAATAAATAACAAATAAACTGAAAGAAATAAGAAACATACTGAGGGACCTGCACCAAATAATCTTCTGCTTAATACCAACAACAATTTGTCAATGTACATGGACAATGCCTTATATCAAATGCACAGACCTTAAGTCAGCCTGAATCTACTACTACTGTTACTGTTATTTCTACCGCATTTGTCTATTTCCATCATATTATTATATTTACTTTTATCTCAGTAATGTTTCTGACCAAGTTCCACATGCCTTGCTCTTCCACCGGCTTAAGAAGTCGTCTAATTTTTTATGCAAACCTGGCATTTACCTGGAAGTACTGCGGCAAATCACAAAACACCTCAGTTGGAATAACCAGTCTCCAGGCAGAGATTTGAACCTGGTGCTCCCACTTATGAAACAAAAACGTTAGCCACTTGACTGCAGCACTGAATGTGTACACAACTGGTTTTTGGCTAATTTTGTCAAACTCTGTATAAAAAAAATGAGTTGTTTCTCTTACTATGGAACAAACATACTCATTTATCAGTTACACTTACTGACTCCCAATGCAAGAACTGTGCCAACTAGAAAGACTATACAATGACTGCAAAGTTTATTTCCATCATCTTGTTGACTTTTTTATTTGTTTGCCATGAAATTGATGGACTTATTTCAAATCACCACCTCTTCCTCTGTGGAATCCCTGACTGGTTAGCTCTAGGCTGGGATATGCATGGAACTCTGTATCTGCTATAGATTCTAGTAAACGTGAACACATACAGGGAAAGTCTGTTACAACAGACTTATTTCACTTTATTTGGCATTATATTAATATATCTGGATGCTTTAATTTTCTGACACTACATTGTATGTGGTGCATTTCTGATGATCCGTTCCTTAGCCTCCATCTAGTGCCGAGGTCAAGAATGACGGAGCTATAACCCCACTCACCCGTGTATTCATGGCATAATGCTAATTACTTAAGCACCGGGCGAACTGTACGTTACTAAACTTGTCCCTCAGTTCTTGAAACTGTCGGTATTTATTCATGTCGACGTTCAGTGTCACCTGTTACTACTGGTGTCTTTAAAAAGGTGTTGATATCTGTAGTAAACCAAGTTTATATTTAAGCGACATTATATAGTCGAAACACCTTCCGACTTTCTGCAGATTCTTCGCCTTCTTAAGCGGAAATTGGCTGCAGAAATGAAAACTACTACACATACAAACAAAAACCGCTACCAGTTCCCACTTCCGTCAATAAACCAAGGCGAATAGCAATAACAGTCACCGATAACAGTAGCATAAACAAACACATCGAACGTGATAGTCATACGAACACACTTTACACGGTTTACACGGACATGAGCCGTGACAATTTGGAGTTGCACGTTTATGATCCGTGGTTGGGTGAACCGTATGATCTGTGTTAATTCGATCCGTGATGTAACCACCAATTTACGGTGAAACGTATACCCGTACAGATCGTGCGGCATTCCAGTACAGCCCCGTGCAACTCCCATGTTATTGGTTGGAAACGTGGCGGCCATGACACCTCGGTGCAAGGCTGCTGCCATCTATGGGCATTTTACACGGAACTAAATTTAAAATGACCTCCTGGGCCGAGAGCACAATCGGTAAGAAGGTATGCTACTTTACCAACTATTTTGAGTGCTCCCCCCTCTGCCCCCTCCAATGCTTTTTTCGCTACTAGCACTAAATACTTTTACAACCACATCTCTTGTACTGCAGTCTCTCTTTCCCTCTGGCTTCCCCACCAATATCCTATATGCATTCCTCGCCTCCCCCATTCGTGCTACATGCACTGCCAACCTCATTGTCCTCGACTAGTGATTTTTTAACAGTGTTCAATATCACTAGTCGAGGACGATGAGGTTGGCAGGGCATGTAGCACGAATGGGGGAAGCGAGGAATGCATATAGGATATTGGTGGGAAAGCCAGAAGGAAAGAGACTCTGCAGTACAACAGATCTGGTTGTAAAAGTATTTACTCCTCGACTAGT